AAGAGCTGGACACAGAAGTGCAGCATTAACAGGTATGTAAATCCTTGGGAGGAGGGACACCAAAGAATTTATAAGCTGTACATTACCATAACAAAACTTTCCCAGGGAATGGGGAGCATGCTACTTCTGCCACCACTTAAACAGAAGAAATGCAGTTAATGGGAGCTTGGTAACATTCAGGGACGGGCTCAGCTACACTGAGAGTAAATAGCCTCATAAAATTCCCCTCTGGATAACAACCTGAAACACTACAAAGCACATCCAGCACAATAAATTACAAAGCACTGTCTACCAGTATATACATGGTCATTTTGTCCTACTTCAGCTTTAGACTTCACACACTTTAACTATGTCAGAGAAAGTTATCTCACAAAAAAATCTCCCTGATTTAGCAGACCGATTCACCCACCTTCCTCTTGCTAAAGTACACAATTTTTATTCAGTCTCACAGAATAAAGCAAGATTTCTGGCATTCTTGTGGTTCTTTTCTGAAACATTTTTAATTTATTAACATCCTTTAAAAAGTTATTATTAATGAAATCAAGTACTATGCTGTAGAAATTATCTTATTAGTGCTCAACATAGTCACACCAATTCCCACTTTTATAAGATACACTGCTACTCACCCAAAGATGGTGTTAGCCCTGATAACAGCACCTTTTTACCAAATGATCATATTAACTTGGCAATATGCTACAGCTCCAACACATTTTCCCAATCCCTGATTTCCAGGATAAGCAAGGCCTGTATTTTTATTGAACTGAACTTCCCCTGTTGGGCTGTAACACGTCTGTATTCTAAACCATAAAAATTACCCTTAAAGCATACCTTTGGTTACATAAAACTAGTAAAAAACTGTGCTAAAGAGTAGATTGACAAAATGAAAAACAGTCTTCATTAAATGCATACGACTACATTAAGATCCTTATAATTTATAACAAGGGTCTCTCCAGTCCTTTCCTCTAATAGCTACAAGAAAACCCCTGCTACCAACAACAGTTAAGGATGGTTTGGTACATAGATGTGTATTGGCATAGACAGTTCTCATGGGAAGTAGTAAGAGCTAGTTCTAAGAAGAAAAAAACAGATATGAAGACAGTGCCAGTGTGCAAAGAAAAAAACACCTAGAAAAGCAATAAACTAAAAGTTTTTGTCAACTTTGACATTATTTTACTATTTATGCTGCTGAAAGCACTGTAAACTGCATGAGGAAAGACTAGAAACATTAGTTTTGCAAAAATTGCTAGGGAAATCACTGAAAATGTCACAATAAAAAGATTTTCAGTCCAACATCTTTTTATTGCCTTGTATTTTCTCTTACTAACCCAGGATGGATTGAATTTGCATGCACTGTATTCTTACTATATGATATATATGACCTGTTCAGAGCCAAAACACTGGAGATCTTCCAGCACATTTATAATTTGTTCAGGAATGAAAAAACCCCAACTTTCTCAAGAAGAAATTCAAGAGAATTCTTTCTCTTTGGACAATTAGAAAAAAGCCTTATAACCGATTTTCTAACCAGGACACTTTCTGCTTTTTCTAATTATGGGTGAACTTACTCTACAAATTAAAGAAATAGATGAAGAAAGGCATTAGTTTTTGGTTGTAAGGCCTTGAAAGCCATTCTAAATAAAGGTGCTTTGAAGTTTCCTTAATTGATAGACTTATGGAATAATTCATACAAGGAAAAGATAGAAATGAATGAGATATTATTTTCCATTGAAGGGATTCAAAGAAAGATGAAATGCCATATTCCTCCTTGAATGCACAGCTGTAAAGAAGAAGAGGCAAGACAAGCAGAGGACTCTATGTGACACTGCAGATAGACAATGTATGTTAAAATACACAGTTTTAAATCCTTAGCTTTATTAAAATAATTCAAAAGAAATACTAGAATCTTTTTTACCACAGTAGATTTGCCCAGCAAACAAACAAATCTTGCTAATTCTCTTGCAAATTTCATCTGTTTAAAGCTTCTGAGAGTTGAATATGAAATAATTTATCCCCCAGTACATCTCAGGTTCTCAAATTCTGTATGCAATATCAAATAGGTGAGCATAATGACAGCCATAAGGATTCTGTTAAAGCTAACTATGCAGAAACTGAATGGTGCTTGCCTTCACAGGTTTTTAGTTTTTATGAACCTGGACCTATGGAGCCAGTTCCACTTGTATGTAAGTACTTCAGATATCATTGCCACAATGAGCATAGAGCGCAAGACATTGCAACAGACCTAACTCAAGTGAAACTAAACCCCAAGCATTTTATATTTAACATTTATATTTAAAATAAACATTAAAAGATGTTTACAAATTGAGGTACCAGCTGAATTGAAATGCCTTGAAATCACTTGAAAGATGATGCCATTGGCAAAAGGAAAACCAACTGTTGAGTAGAACAGAATTTGGGAATATTTGTAGTGATTAATTATGAACTGATATGAATACTGTCCACAGAGAATATCAAGTATTTCCAGCAGCAGACAATCCATGTCAGTGCTCACTAGCTTTTTTTTAAGCTCATTAAATGTCTTAGACATGACCTTCTGAAAAGAGTATCAAATGGCAGATGAATAGAGAAAATATTTCTCCTTAATTGCAAGTTATAAGAGAAAGGATTATGAAAACATGCATACAAGATGAGGGTGGTGGGATTCTTGAGGTTTATTGACTAAAAATGTTAAAATAGAAGCGCTGAATGAATGGCTAATAAACATGCTGTAGGAATATCATGACTGTTGCTGGTTTGATGGCTGATGTTCTGGCAAATCCTGACAGGACATATAGCTATATACTGGTGCACATTAAACATGAAAACTAGCTTTGACCACCGTTAAATTTTTTTCTGTGTATTGCAAACACCTGTGAGTCACTGCTACAAGGAGAAGAGAGTTTTCTTACCATTAACTGAGCGGGTTAACAAGATTGAGCACTGCCAAGGGAAACTACCTGAAAATGCAGTAAAATGGTGTCTTTGGCTAGGTTAGATCAGTGCACAGCCTAAAGGAATCAAATGGAGAGAAGACTCAAAACCTGGGGTCTCTGAGATGCTCTGAGAGAAAAGCTGACAAGTTTGAACTACTTTATCTTCGGTACATTTTAAATTTCCTATCTCAGTGGAGAAATCAGAAGAACAAAAGTCAAAATGCAGGAAAATAATCTGTTCAGCCTGTAGAGATAAAACAATGTAGTAAACAGACTGAATCAAAGAAGGATAAATAAATATACCACTATCAAGTTATAGCAGCTAAATGCGACATTTTAGTCACTGAGCAAACACTGATGTATGACTATGTACAGGAATTTTTGAAGCACCTGATTTGAGACCCAGAGCACCTGGGACACATTCTTTGGTCTGGGCGAGCTGAGAGATGGTCTTATGGAAGGAGAAAGATGGACACAAAGAGATTCCCACAGGTACTGCTGTGGCATGAGCATGCATTGACCATGTTTCTCCCATAGCTGCAGCAGAGCTAGAGATGAAATACAGAATTCCTATGGCACATAAAAATGCAACTATCAACAGAGAATCTACACCAATGTTGTTGCTTTGAAGACAGAGATGTTGGCAGAGTGAATAGTTCTCTCTGCAGCTTGTCTTTCTCTCATGGAAATGAAGCTTGATAGACATCAGACATCAGAGAGTCCCTATACAATCCTAGATGGCCACTAACTAGTTACATAACCTTGGGAAAGCATATTACTTTTCTGTACTTGTGTCTCGTCTTGTCTGTCTGGAATGGCAAGTTTTAACATGATTAAATAGAGAGCGATTATCTCTCAACCTCTGTGTGCAATATTAGAGTTCCACACTGAAGTTCCCAACGTTCTCAGCCAGGGCCACTAGGTGCTGCTGTAATATGAGTAATTAAAATAATAACTATTCTTAAAGGAGTTACATATATTCTTTCTATGGACTGTTTGAAAAAGTCTGAAAGTCAGAGAAAAAAATTATTCTAAACCGGCATATTTTTTGAACAGCAAGAAGTGAAAGAGCCCATTATTCACCCACTGGTCTTCAAAAACTTCCCCCTTACCTTTTGAAGCTTTGCAGAAAAAAAAGCTGCAAACACCTTCCCCATTTAAAATATGTACTGAACAAATGAACTCCTTTTTCTATTCCATTTTCATTTGTAAGCCCAGTTTAAGCAGTTTGCTGTTGTGCAAGCTCATCCAAATCATTATACTCCAAAATCCTGGCCAGCTACACAAACCATGAATCATATTTATGTATTATTTGAATGTGAACAGAAAGGCAAAGTCCTCAGCATGGGGGAGCATGACTGGAACTGCAAATGATTCAGTAAATGCATGGTGATGTTACTGAGGCTCAGTTTTGTACCTGTCAGTTCCACAGGCTTCTAAGGAGGTTTTATCTTATTAAATGTAGTTGACTAGCCACCAACACAGTAAGAGATTAGTAAGTCTCCCTTTGAATCAGTCACTAAATGCTTCTTGTCTGACACTACTAAAATGTTTTGAAGCAGCTGCCAGCTATAGCTCAGAGAGCTATATGACTAAAGTGCTATTTCTGAAAGTCTTGGAGTCAGTGTATCTAACTGGACTCCACAGTGGACAATCCAAAAAGACTATTTATATTTAAAAATAATTTGGCAAGTCCTGTTCATCAAACCATTTTTCCAGACACAAAGACTCCACTTAAAAATTTGTTCTTGAATTTACTGCCCTTAAAAATTAAGTTACATGAAATTATTTGAATCATTATCAGAACAGGTCTGCTAAGGTGGTTCTGGATTAATTAGAAGTGATGAAGTTTTGCTTCTGGGTTATCTGAAGATCCAAAGTCAGTAAGCACAGAAACAAAGTGACAAACACTAAGCACATGTAGAAAATAAGGTATTGGGAACACTATACAAGAATCAGGACTTTATGGTAAACATGGGACAGAATATTCATAGTTTCAATAATTATTAAAAAGCATTTGAGGAAAGTGCAGTAGTGCTAACACAAGCTAAAAATATATTTTATTCTTACCATTTGAGACTGGCTCCGGGGACAGCCATTGATATCTTCAACCTTTTCATTTGCTAAACAAAAACAGTGAGGAGAAAAGCAGAAATAAACAATGAGATGAAACTTTTCTTTCCAACCCCCAGTCAAAAAGAAAAGACCGAAAAATCAAAACAAACAAACAGCAACAAAAAAACCAACAAAGGAAAGCAGAAAAGACCCAGCAATAAAGTGCAGAGGGTTTTGTTGACACAGAGCTCCCTTCTAAGTAAAGCTCAGTCATACAGTAACAACACTCTTGGTAGCAGCAGTTGCTTCCACATGTGAAATCATGCAAAGGGGGAAGTGCGAAGGAGGTCGCTGCTAATTCTTCAGCCCCTGCAAAATAACTGCTGACATGAAATCTTCCACAATTGTCTTTGCAGGGTCAGGATATAGTTTCAAGGCATCGCAAAAGTATGAGCCACTCCAACTAACAAAATGCACACATGGGAGACATATGGTTTAATGGAGCATTCATTTCTGACAATTCAAAGTGTGTAAGATACAGTTCTGGCCATTTAAAGTATGGTTAAACAGCAGCTTCCAAACATGCTCACATAAACATATTTTTTAATTAAGACAGAATGAACCACACAAATATCAAAGACCCAGTCAAATTGTATTATTCAGGGTTTGTCTTATTGTTAAACACATTCAGCTTGAATAATATATTCCCCCATGCATGGAGTCAGCTCCCAGTACTTCCCTCAGCCCTGGTCTTACCGATGATCTGGATGATTTCTGCTAGCAGAACTCCATCTGCAATGTCCTGTTGCAAATCCTTGATCAACCGCTTGTGGCCAGATTTTGCTAGGTAGTGGTTAGCCCAGTCTGTGTAAATCTGCAGAGCAAAGGGGGAGGGCAAGGGGAAGAAGGGGAAGAGAGGAAAGAAGACAAAAAGTTTTAAAACAAATGTTGGCTTGCACACCAGAACTATTTTGAATCACATTCCCATTTAAGAAGTCAGCACCAAAGGAAACTATTTTAATGTTGTGGGTTTTGTCCTTTTTTTTTTTTTAAATGGCCATGCCCCTCCTCCTGCCATCCTCTGTTTTATTTTAACTTCAAATGATTCAGGCTGTTTCATGAGGGTTCAAACTTGCTGTGACCAAGCAAAATTACCCTTATGACTGTAAAGGAAACTCCTGTTGTAAATCAGTCACATCTATCACAATCCTACCTCCCACCACGTTTCTACCTCTATGCATGCCCCAACAACAACTTTCACACTCTGGGGCTGCCTAAGTGAAAGTGATAGCACTGACATGTGCCTGTGTTTGGGTAAGAGTCCATTAGGTTGTCACAGGTGTTCCTGTGCCTGGTGATGCCTCTGTGAGACTTCCTGCAGCAGTCACTGTGTCCCACTGTGCAGAGACTTGCCTACAGTTTGGAGTGCTCTAATGTGCACAGAGGAGACTGAGAGCACCAGATGCACAGTAGTGTCATTGCTGGAAGTAGAGTCTATATATATGCTGAAAATATGCTGCATCCTTTCTATGACTAAAGAGGAGGTGGGAAGGCTGAGACAGCGTAACACCAAATACTGCTGCAACAGGCAGAACAAAAATGGCAGTTATCAACTAAAGGTTGAAAAAAGCCAGCTGAACTACATCCTCCAAAATAAGGGCGGAGAGGGGTTTGAAGAGAGGGGTTGAAGGCATTTCATAAGGTGTATATGTACACAGAGCATTTGGTAACACCTACAGCAGGCACACAAGCAGAACCATGTTCACTTAAGGCAAGATAAATGGAACAGACACCTCCACCTCTATACTGAAGAAAAGTGCACCCCAAGAGATGCTCACATCATCCCAGGGTGCCCCAACATGCAGAAGGAGCTCAGACTAGCAGCTCGGCAGCAGATGTCACACAGCTGGAGGGTATCACTGGCCCTTGGCAGTCAGCCCTGGTTCCCTGTTGCAGGGTGTCCCTGACCTCTCTCCTCACTCCAGAAAGTAGGACTTGTACGGAACCTCCCACTACCATGGGGTGCTACCACTGAAAGTGTATATGTATGACAGCATCACTGTGTGAGCAAATATAATATCTAAGCGTCTTTTTCTGCTGAGAATATTGTTTGAAAATGCTGAAACTGTACCTCTTCCATTAAAAAAAAAAAAAGATTACTTTATGAACATCCGTTTATTTAGTCTCACAGAGCCTTGAGAGGAAGGCATCAGAATCCCATTTTTTACCAGAAAAACAGAGGCCAAAACCGCTAACTACTTGCGTATTTCACCAAGGAAATCTGTGGCAGAATGAGGATGGGAAAACATGCATTTCACAGCCCTCAGTCTTACCCAGAGAATAACATCTGCTTTCCCCACCTCAAAAGTAGCACTGCTCAGTCCATGTTCAGAGGCTAAGGACTCCTTCACTACCTGAGTACCTTGTCACAGATTTTATCCCTCTTTATTAAAAGAGAGAAAACTGTAACTTGCTTCATCTACCCTATTTCTTCTCATATTCCTGCACATGGATAAACAGCTGATTTCCCACAGCCTTCTTCACACCTTTAGGATTTTAGATATCTCCACATAATTTAACTGGAAGTGGAGTCAGCTCTCCCATAGCCAAAGGATGCTGCTGTTAAATGGGGCCTTCAATTTCCCTGTTGCACTCAGAAGTCTGCTTCAGCCACCTGTGTTTTCACTGATTGATATTCTTTTTTCACTATTACACATAAGTGACATAAAAGGCTCCATTAAAATGTTTTGTTTAAAGCCAACTGTAGCTAAGAAAGTGGGTTTTTAACTATATAACTATATATAATGAATGTTAGTGTGGGGTCTCTAAAGACTGCATGAACACGTATTTAGAAAGATATGAAATCATTATGATAAAATACACATGCCGTACCCACAGCATCATATATTCCCTACTACTAGTATTTCAACTTCAGTCATTCTTTTAAAGTAATGTCTCAGAAATACTCTCTGAGCTATTAGTGTAAGCAGAACTATTTTCTGTATTCCAATGAAACTGATCCACTGGAACATACAGAATTTAATACCACTAGTATCATTTCGGTTAGTTTCATATTACAAATAAAAATACCTTACCAGGCATTTCCTTTTTCATTTGTCACACCCTCACATAATTGGGTGTACCAACCCTAATTCTGACTACAATTTGAACTATCTTACTAAGCAGACAAAGAAATTTCATTCTAGCAGCTGCTTTGCAGTGTCTAGTATTCAAAGAATGGCCTTCGCTCACCCATCCACCCCCTTCATAATTTTCTCATTAATTTAAACGTGACAAGCATAAAGAATGAAAACAGTGTTTTGTAAGCAAAGGCTGATAATCCACATCGTATCAGCATTTTTCTGATAGTCAGCATTTTGATGGTCACGCAACGGTAGAAAAATATTACTGGGAGGAGGTAGTATTAAAGAGCTTTTTCACTTCAGAAGAATTCAGGTACCAATCAAAAAGGCAAAGAGTTGTTGATTGAGACAATACAGCAAACCAACATCCAGTTGGCAGTGGAATGTCACGTTTCATTGCTTCTCTTTCTGTAAGGAGTACCACTTGCTTCTGTTTCCACCCTTCCCCTTAGGATGCCCTTCCAGTCATCTCATTCTTCTGGGGACCTAACTGCTCAGGAGTCAGTTGTAAAAAATGAAAAGCATGTAGATGGACACAAGAAATTATAAGAATGTACATATGCCATTATAATATTTTTATATTAAATTCTCTGATGCAAATATAATGAGAATTATAGCATCCCCCTTTATAGCTTTTAAGTATCAATGTAACTATGCACCTCATAAATTTTATCTTTCACTCCTTGGAAAAACACAAAGCTCCAGTGTGAATCATCAATAACAACACTTAGTTCTCAACCGAGTAAACTCACACAGAAGATAAAAAATCAGTAACTTCATGCAACAGTCTGCTTTTCACAGGTGTTCCCCTTCCACTGGGTGCTGAGCAGCTCTAAGGAGGAGCTGTGCATGCTACCCCTCTTTTCAGAACCAGCAATAAATCATACTGTCTTGCATTAATTGTGCAGCAATGTTTCCCCCAAATCCTCTAGTCCCAGATTTTTTTCAGATGAGGCTGTTTCGGAGAACACAGCCATGAGTGTTAGCTATTGCAACACTTTCTCGCCTCTGCACTGCTTGCTCCAGTAACCCTGCCCTACAGCCGCACACTGGGCTGGGCTGCTGACTTACTCATTTCCTCCCCGAGCTTCCTCTCCTACCTCCCTGCTTTACAGGCACGTCTGACCTGGGGGTATTCCATTCCAACGCTAGGATCTGACTGCTGACAACATACAGCACAGCTACTGTTATCTGTGACATAGAGGATCAGTTTCAGCAACACGATAACGGAACAGACCCGATCTTGTTTTTTTGTGGACCGAGCCCCTTCCCAGTGCCTGGTGGTTTAACTGCTTGCAACACAGAACAGGATTCAGTGGGGCATTCCGAGCTCAGGCACAGCCTACCCAAGTTAACAACGGTTTCCCCTAGCATTCCTCAACTGCTCGTCATGCTAACCTTCTACAGAGTAGAAGAAATAAACTCTGATACCCAAATATAGTTATGAACTTCACCTCGATATTTCACATGTAGCTATAAGAAGCACAGTAGAGCTGCTTGGCAGGATCTGTAATGAAACAATACACTTTGTAATGTGGTAGCTTAATGAAGTGAAAAAGAAGGAGGATCTCACAGGTTACTGCCTTTTAAAGAAAATTATACATCAGGCAGTGCTATAATGCATCCTCTTTAAAATTAATACAGAAATGGTACCAGCCACAATCAGCACCAAGGAGGAAATGTCAGATGGGTTTCAGAAGTGCAGTCAGCCTAATACAATAATAATGCATGACACATCGTCAGTCTCTTCCACTAAATCAGGTCAAAATGCTTTTCAGGCATTAATGAGATCACCCCTTCTCTTTATTATTTCTGTAGACCTGGGAAAACTGAGGCATAAAGGCAAATTTATGATGTGGTTTGTTCAATGGCAAACAGAGCTGGGAATGCAATCCCAATATCCTGAGTTGAAATCATTTCTTCTAAATGCTTTTTTATCAGGTTGTTTTGTAAAAAGGTTTGGTGGGAAAATGCATGTTCCAAGAATCAGGATCCTTCCAGATATTTTTGTTCGTCTGCTACAGAATATGGAGTTTCAGCTCTGAAAATGGTCTTCTGTTGCTATCGAGAAAACAGCTTTCCATACTTAGCATATGCCTCTGTCACAGCCTTATGTGCCAATGTTGCTGCTTAGGGACTACAGCAGTTGCTGCCAACTGAGTTATGCTAAGACCTCATGACAGATTTCCATCCCATTTAGGAAGATAGGTTATATTGGAAAAATATTTAAATCTTTGTCCACTGTATGGAAAAGTGCCCTTCCTAGATATGCAGAATAAACAGATAGTATCCAGTTCTCATCACTTGTCCTTTAAAATACTCTCTAGGAGACAACTGTATCCTCATTCACTAACATGAAAGAATTGAAATGCTGTCCACCAGTGCTCACTCTCATGCTCACTCTCATGCTCTCTCCTGCAAACAATATCACCCTAATACCTTTGGGGGTGGGGAGTCTTTTCAGGAACTCCATTTCCCAAAAGCAATCTGTAGGCAACATTGAGCTTCCTACAGATTTTTCTTTCATCCTTATCTTGTAGCAAACAAGAGTTGGAGAATTGGAAGGAAAAGCTACCTATTAAAAAAAATTGCTAGCAATATACCTGGGTTACAATGTTTCACAGCAATACACAATACTACTACTTTTCCACACAGCAGGAGTCTGTCTTTTATTCTATGTCTGGATTATATCAGTACATTTCATAATCTTTTTATTTCCTTTCAAAAAAAT